TCCGCCCCCTCTCCCGAGCGACCCGGGAGCCAGCGGGACGGGCTGAGGCTGGGTCGCTTGCTGCTACTGGCACCAGGCCCCCACTAACCCTCCAGGCCACCCTGGACCCTGCGTCCCAAAACATGGGGGCCCCCACAAAGTGCGGGGGCCCCCCAAAGCATGGGGCCTGGGGCGGTTGCCCCGGTTCGTCCTATGGGTGGGATGGCTCTGGCGGTAGGTGCCTAATACATTTGAGGATCGGGGCCCAAATCACCAACCTTTTCTCCCTGGTATAAACTGTGAGTGCATTTGTCAACCTTCCTCTCCCAAAGGGGCAGCTTCTGGTAGCTGGGGCAGCTGCTGAGCATGGCAATGGCTGCCGGGTGGGTTAAACAATCAGGAGAATGACTTCAGCTATGACAATGCACAGGCCATAAATTAAACCAAAGGGTGTAGATTAGGATGTGCAAAATAAACTAGTGACACAGGCATAGTGGGTGAAGTAGAAGAATGTGATTGACCGGCTAGGTTTTGTGCAAACCAGCTAGCCAAGGTCAGGAGAAAATCTGTTTCTCAATGGGATTGAGATGCTACAGTGGCTCCCTGCTCAGGGGTGAATTCTTCTGGACACAACAGCCAATCCTTATGACAGACAAGAAAATGAAAAACGACAAGCTTTGCCGGTGCTCAGCCCATCACAAAGAAATCCTATACCGGGTCATGCAGCTAGTTACCCTGTAGGAGAACTACAGAAAACTGCTATGTGAAACCAGGTCTGAATGAGGCCAGGTTCCAATATGGCAGCATCTAATCATCGAACAGTAGGACTGGAAGGGACCTCGAGAAGTCACCTAGTCCAGTCCCCTGCACTCATGGCAGGACTAAGTGTTCTCTAGACCAGTATTATCTAACTCAGGAGATTAATGCTCAGTAAAAGAAACCACAAAGCAGGTCCCTTATCAACACTTTTGCCTGCATTAATAATACAGCAGCATGCCCAAAGCCGCTCGACTGTAACTAGATAGGGCAGACCCCCTGCTATGGCTGAAGAGGTGTTGGCTCAGCTCGGGGAGAAATGGGTATGCGAAATTTCCTGGCTTCTGACTCTAACCACTAGGCTGACTGCTCACAGCCTGGGCTCTGACCTAGGGACCCACATGTTTTTATGACAACTGGTAAGTGCCAGGTCACAGGGGTGCGCCAGTCACATCCCTGTGCCTCAGTTGCTAGCTACAGGTAAGGCATTGGTATTGGGTGTGTGTGTGCTGGTGGGGAGGAGGCCTTCATATGTACACAGCTTGAGGATCCCTCTCTTAAGGGTCAGGCATTAGTGTCTGGGTAAGCCAACTTCATGGCCAGTTTGAGTCGGCAAGAGCTGGGCCCAGTTGTTTTAGCACAGCCCAGCTGTGGGCCCATGAGGGCTATATTTTAGCTACACACCAGGCTGTATCTTGAAGTGTGATGAAAAGGGGCCAGTTGTGTGACGTGTAAACCCTTGTCTCAATGTGAAAATGCTGTTGGGTCAGACAGGAGGGCTTGCCCACAAAGCTAGGAGCAAAATTCACCCCACGGAGGGGCGGGGACAGCACAAGGCTTGGGTCAGCCTGTTGTTCAGTCAGGTCAGCTGGGCACACCGTTACGCTGTCAAAAAAATCACCAGGCCCCTCTTACAGGCGTGATAAAAGTAAGATGAAAACTAAAATGCTCCATGTTAACAATACTAGCCCTATGTAACTGAGGGGTGGGTGGGTGTGAGTGAGAGAGATTTGAGAGCTTGACAGAAAGCGCTTGACCTTGAAGGACAGGGGGGGGTGACTGGAGGAGCAACGGTTTCTTCGCTTTGGATTTTTCAACACTTTGTGATCTGCCCAGTTGCATTTTATGATCTGCCCCAGGAGTCACAACCCACTGGTTGGCAGACAGACAGTGGTCTAGAAATTGTTTAAATTTTATTTAAGCCAGATGGGAGAAATGTGAATGTCCCATGTCCCTCCCCACCCCACCCCCCCGCCTCGCCCCCACTGAAGTATCTGCGTATGCCAAGGCCAATGTTCTGTTGACATTTAGGCACTTTCTGTATTTACAAAAAGAAAAGGAGTACTTGTGGCACCTTAGAGACGAACCAATTTATTTGAGCATGAGCTTTCGTGAGCTACAGCTCACTTCATCGGATGCATACTGTGGAAAGTACAGAAGATGTTTTTATACATACAAACCATGAAAAAAATGGGTGATTATCACTGCAAAAGGTTTTCTCTCCCCCCACCCCACTCTCCTGCTGGTAATAGCTTATCTAAAGTGATCACTCTCCTTACAATGTGTATGATAATCAAGGTGGGATAATCAGCGGCACTGCTATGGGTACCCGCATGGCCCCACAGTATGCCAACATTTTTATGGCTGACTTAGAACAACGCTTCCTCAGCTCTTGTCCCCTAACACCCCTACTCTACTTGCGCTATATTGATGACATCTTCATCATCTGGACCCATGGAAAAGAAGCCCTTGAGGAATTCCACCATGATTTCAACAATTTCCATCCCACCATCAACTTCAGCCTGGTCCAGTCCACACAAGAGATCCACTTCCTGGACACTACAGTGCTAATAAACGATGGTCACATAAACACCACGCTATACCGGAAACCTACTGACCGCTATGCTTACCTACATGCCTCCAGCTTTCATACAGACCACACCACACAATCCATTGTCTACAGTCAAGCTCTACGATAAAACCACATTTGCTCCAACCCCTCAGACAGAGACAAACACCTACAAGATCTCTATCAAGCATTCTTACAACTACAATACCCACCTGCGGAAGTGAAGAAACAGATTGATAGAGCCAGAAGAGTTCCCAGAAGTCACCTACTACAGGACAGGCCTAACAAAGAAAATAACAGAACGCCACTAGCCGTCACCTTCAGCCCCCAACTAAAACCTCTCCAACGCATCATCAAGGATCTACAACCTATCCTGAAGGACGACCCATCACTCTCACAAATCTTGGGAGACAGGCCAGTCCTTGCTTACAGACAGCCCCGCAACCTGAAGTGAATACTCACGAACAACCACATACCACACAACAGAACCACTAACCCAGGAACCTATCCTTGCAACAAAGCCCATTGCCAACTGTGTCCACATATCTATTCAGGGGACACCATCACAGGGCCTAATCACATCAGCCACACTATCAGAGGCTCATTCATCTGCACATCTACCAATGTGATATATGCCATCATGTGCCAGCAATGCCCCTCTGCCATGTACATGGGCCAAACTGGACAGTCTCTACGTAAAAGAATAAATGGACACAAATCAGATGTCAAGAATTATGACATTCATAAACCAGTCGGAGAACACTTCAATCTCTCTGGTCACACGATTACAGACATGAAAGTTGCGATATTACAACAGAAAAACTTCAAATCCAGACTCCAGCGAGAGACTGCTGAATTGGAATTCATTTGCAAATTGGATACAATTAACTTAGGTTTGAATAGAGACTGGGAGTGGCTAAGTCATTATGCAAGGTAACCTATTTCCCCTTGTTTTTTTCCACCCCCCCCCCCCCTTCCTCAGACGTTCTTGTTAAACCCTGGATTTGTGCTGGAAATGGCCCACCTTTATTATCATACACATTGTAAGGAGAGGTTTCAGAGTAACAGCCGTGTTAGTCTGTATTCGCAAAAAGAAAAGGAGTACTTGTGGCACCTTAGAGACTAACCAATTTATCTGAGCATGAGCTTTCGTGAGCTACAGCTCACTTCATCGGATGCATACCGTGGAAACTGCAGCAGACATTATATACACACAGAGATCATGAAACAATACCTCCTCCCACCCCACTGTCCTGCTGGTAATAGCTTATCTAAAGTGATCATCAGGTTGGGCCATTTCCAGCACAAATCCAGGTTTTCTCACCCTCCGCCCCCCCCCCCCCAAACTCACTCTGCTGCTGGTAATAGGAGAGTGATCACTTTACATAAGCTATTACCAGCAGGACAGTGGGGTGGCGGGGGAGAGAAAACCTTTTGTAGTGATAATCACCCATTTTTTTCATGGTTTGTGTGTATAAAAACATCTTCTGTACTTTCCACAGTATGCATCCGATGAAGTGAGCTGTAGCTCACGAAAGCTCATGCTCAGATAAATTGGTTCGTCTCTAAGGTGCCACAAGTCCTCCTTTTCTTTTTGCAAACACAGACTAACAGGGCTGCTACTCTGAAACCTGTAGTTAAGGTGAGCTATTATCAGCAGGAGAAAGAAAAAGTTTGTCGTGATACTCAAGATGGCTCATTTAGACAGTTGACAGAAAGGTGTGAGGATACTTAATGTGGGGAAATAGGTTCAATGGCTGCTACTCTGAAACCTTTCTGTGTTTAGGCACTCCAAATGTGCCTGCCTACCTAGCTTTGTGTATTGCTCTCCGTATCTTCGCATATTCTAGAACTGCTTACAAACATACACCACAAGGTGGTAGCACCTCCCCACACGCAGGAACCGCATTTCAGTGTTAGTCTCTGTGAAAAACCCGTTTACGTTGTTTAGGCTCTGATATGACGCTTCATGTCCCCCCAGCCCCCAATATTTTCATGTTGCTAGTGAAGACGGGGCCAACAGCCATTCAAATCATAGACTAGTCTCTACCCCGATGAGTCGTACAGGTTGTTAACATAGTCAGGGGCAAGTTTTGCACTGATCCAGGGGTGACAGTTGATGCAAATTATATATTAAGGTAGTTTGCACATTTGCAAACAGTTATTCGTATAACCCTAAGCTTCTGCTTACGGTCAATAAACCCTGACCTAAGCAGTGGCAGGGGTAGGACACAGAGGTGCACAAAACTTGGCATGTGTGGGGAGAGGTGCTAGAGAGTGTCTGGAAGTATTAGGTAGATTGTGGTGAAGAGGAAGACCATTGCTGGATATTTGGGGGGGGGGGGCTGGCTGGGGAAGCCTGTTGGGGTGGCTGGGGCAATAATGGTGTCTGGGAGGCAGTGTCTTGGGGGAAGCAGGATGGGAGGCTGGGGGAGCTGGGGAGCCTGGTGGGGAGGGTGGCAGTCTCTTGGAGGAAGTTGGGTGAGGCGTGTCTGGTGGGAGTGGCTGGGAGGGGAGCTACGGCTACAGCATGGTGTTGGGGTTGCCTAGGGCACTGTAGGACGCGCTTGAGGCTAGGGGTGCAGGAAAAGTACCACTTCATCTTGTCCCAATGGCCACCAACGCTGCTTACCACCCCTGCCCCTTCCGTATTTGGCTCCAGCAGGGAAGTTTTCTGTTCTGTGGGCACTACTGTGGCTTGGGTGTGTATGTCACACAAGATGGCTTACACTTGGCCACCCTGTGTAATCGGCCATGGGTGGGAGAAGAGGGGAAAGACCAGGAAACTGAGGGAAAACTGCTCTTGGGAGAACGTTACCCCATAAAGCTCAAACTATTTATTGTTGGTCCATATGAAACTCCTGGTCCATATGAAACTGAGGGCACAGCTCCCCTCAACCTCTGTGGCCATTAGGGCCGACTCCCACAAACACTTGGGCACAGGGGTAACCTGACTCATGTGAGCAGCCCTATAAAAATTAATGCAACAACTTACTTGAGTAAACTTTCATGTGTTGGGGTAGAGGGCTGTCTCACTTCGGGTCTACGTGGCCCTGGGTTCAACTCTCAGAGGAGCTCTTAAGAACAGATGGAGATGGAACGGCCATCAATAAATTTAGGCTGGAAACCTGAAGGTTTATAACCATCAGAAGAGTGAGGTTCTGGAGCAGCCTCTCAATTGCAGTAGCGAGGGCAAGACACCAAACCAGTTTTAAAAAGGAGCTTGATCAGCGTATGAATGGGATTATCTGAGGATGCTTCTTGCAGTGGCACTAGTCTTGACCCAGTAGGTCTTTTCCACTCCTATGTGTGCAGCTAGGTGTCTGCCATATGGCCCCGATCCTGCTGTGGTGCCCCACCGATGACACACAGTTGCATTGACTTCAACTGCAGGAAGGGGGCTTTTGTAGGAAAGTCTTGTCTACAGTGAAGAGGTCATAGCTGTAAATCTTTATTTCCCTGCCTTAAAATTGATCCATAGTCGAAAATATACGTCTAGCTTATTTAATTTTCCATCTGAAGATATAAATATTACTACGCCACATCAGCCATTGTTATTTTTATTTTATGTGCCTACATCTGCAGTATAAAGAAACCACAAATCCGTTTCCAGTTGCTCACATTAAGCGATGAGAATTTTAGACAAAGGATCAAAAGGATGCTCTTTTACAAGAAGAGCTGACGCAGTGCCCAGGGCAGACATAGCATAAGGGGATGGCCCCTTACAGAGAACATTAGGGTTGCTGGAACTGAAAGGTAAGATTTCAATTAACAAAGAGATGATCTGAATTACTTGGTTGGGAGGGAGTCTAGCCAGGTACTCTCTAGTCTTAGTGAGGGAACTAGAGATATAGGGCTTGAACCCTTTGGAAAGGCTCCCTTTGATCTGAATGGGCTGTGGGTCAGGGCCGTATTGTGATGATGCCTTCCAACAAGCGTTAACACACGCTTTGCATTTCTAGATCACGGGATTAAATGCAAAGCACTTGGCAAAGGCCCCAATCCTGAGACGTGGACTTTGCAGTGAAGAGTGAGAGATGTCTGGGACAAGAAGTTCCACCATGAGGATCCACAGAGAAATAGGGTGACCAGATGTCCCATTTTTAAAGGGACAGTCCCATATTTAAGCCTTCCTGCAGGTGTCCTGACTTTTTCTTAAAAACAGGCAAATTGTCCCATATTTTCTGTCTCCCCCCCCACTCCTGCTGCTGGCCAGATCCCTGCTTGCCAGCCGCCCTCTCACCAGCGTCGAGTGGGGGGCGGTCCAGTGGCCGGCGATGGGGGTGGGTCTGCAAGGTTGGCGGCGGGGCAAAGATGCAGCATGTGGGTCTGGCCGCTCCCCCTGCTGGTCCTTCAGTGCAGCCCCTGCTGCATGCCAGCTCACAGCCAGCAAGACCCAGCCCCCCAGTCCATTTCCGGCCAGCACTGGTGGTTGGTGAGTGCGGGCAGGTGCCAGGTAGTGACCAGTTACATGTCACCTCTGCTGCCCACCAGTCAGCCCTTTATGCGTTCCCCCTCTCGCTGTCCTCTCCCTGCTTTGCCCCTTCACCCACGCCAACCCTGCTGCTCCTCCCTATCCCCCCCACGAGGTGCATCCTGCTCCCAGCGCTGGGCAGAGAACCAGCCCCTGGTGGGACTGCTCAGCTCACCAGCAGCCTGGCCAGCAGGCTCCTTCCTTCCCCCACTGCCTCTGGCTGGGCCGACGCCCCAGGAAAACCTAAGACCCTCTGGCCTGGGGCGCTGGCCAGAAGGAGCCAAACCCTGCATATGCCAAAGCCCCGCACAGCGCTGGCATGGGGAAGCTTCTCTGCCCTTCAGCTAAGCTCTGGAGTGGGGGGAAGCGATTTCCAGCCTGTTCACGCCTTGACCTGCAGGCTCCACAGCAGCCCCCTCCAGGCAGGGGCTGACCACCATCTTCATCTCCTACCCCCCCGCCTGCCCCCAGGGAGTGCAGGGCTGCTCCCTCCCCTAGGCACCCTCCCCTGCTGAGCCACCTCCCTGGCTGAGTTCGCTGAATCCACTGGGCCCTGGTGCACAATGCAACCTAGGGCTTAACCCCTTCCTGCCCATGCTGTAGCTGGGGGGTGGGGTGGGGGAACAGGAGGTGATTGGGTTATGTCAGTGGGGGCATTGTGGGCAGGGAGGGAGAAGCTGCTTCCAGCCACAGGGGGAGGACAGGGGGAGGAGAGGAGAAATGAGCTCTGCAAAGACAAGGGCCAGGCCATCCCTTCCCCTCTCTTCCTCCCCAGCGGTGAGAAGCAGCTCCCATCCCTTCCCTCCCATACAGTGCCGAAAGACTGCCGCTGGCCACATTCTGGTGTGAACCCTGGCAAAATCTGGGACGGGGGGGGGGCATGTGACCCCACGTGTCACCTTGGGAAGACGCGGCACCAGGTACCAGGAGAAGCAGGTCCGTCCCAGGGGCCCAGCCAGGCATGGAGAGCAGAGAGCACCAGGCAGGGAGGGTCAGGTCAGTCAGTCACCCCCCCCACCATGGGAGAGAGGCCTACGGGAGTATGTGTGAGTCACCCCTCCCTGTGTAAACCCTAGAGCCTTAAAGATAAGAAGGTAAATAAAAAGAATCAAACTCCGGTATTTCTTTTTAACGGGGGCTCAGTCGACTTGATGTTAATTTGAACGTTTGCCCTGCATAGTTCTGACTGATTGCCACTGAACGGCTTGAATACAAATAATTCTACCCGGTGTCCCGTATTCAGCATAGGGAAATACGGTCACCCTACAGAGACTCCATCTTGGCCATCCCTCCTTTAATTTTTCAGGAGACCACTCTGCAACAGCTCCGCTTGCTCTGGGAGGCTCACACGGAGGACGTGCCATTCCGGTAGATGGACGTTTTCCTCTTAGGGCTGATTTTTTCAAGCAGTGATAACTGAGTGACATAGTTAACGGGGCTGTTTTCTCTAGACATGGTCCGAGGTTTGCGGGTGAAGTTCAGGTACTCTTGATACTGCCACTTCTGCAGGCGCTTCCTTAATTCAGCCTGAACCTAAGGAAAAGCACGAAAAGAGGGGGGAGGGGGAGACGGGCCAAAGAATTGGACATAGCACTAATGTGGCTATTCCAACTTCACACTGAGGCTAAGATTTTTAAAAAAATACCTGCCCAGTGTAAGGTTTCCAAATCCAGATCTAGGTGCCTAAACAAGTGATTGATTTTCAAAAGCGCTCAGGCCCCAGTTTTAGTGTCCCCCACCACCCACCTCCACCTGTCATCCCTCTGTTTGTCAGGTCCTAACACAATGGTTTTTGTGCTTTATTCCATGGGGCCACCAAGTTGTGGTAACACCTGCTGGAGCTCATCCACGAGGCCCTTAGCCTGTCCAAATCTAAGTCCGTCTGAAAAGACCCACTTCAGCCCTGTTACAACGAATAGAGGTGACTTGAGTGGATTAGTCTTTTTATGTCCCCTTTCCCCTAACCTCTGTCTGGATAATGCCTAGCACATTGTAGGTACTGCCATCACTCTCACTCTCTCTCTCTCTCTCTCACATACCCCCCATACTCTGATAGCCACGGAAATGCGTCTGCAGTGGCTGCCGTCAATACCTTTGAATCATAGACGTGTGGAGGACTGGAAGGGACCTCGGTAGGTCATCTAGTCCAGTTCCCTGCACTCAAGGCAGGACAATGTAATAAATAGACCATTCCTGACAGGTGTTTGTCTAACCTGTTCTTAAAAACCTCCAGTGACAGAGATTCTATACTATTCATATCGTCTATGTATGGTCTATACATTATAGCTAGGGCTCCAGGTCTGTCACGGAGGTTGCAGAAGTCACGGACCACCCACGGACGCACCCACAGGAAAAAAATGGTGGTTGCCTAGCACCCACTGGCAGCCCCCCCCATCAGCGCCTCCCCCTTACCTCCAGTGCCTCCTGCCCACCACAATCAGCTGTTCCATGGTGTGCAGGAGGCTCTGGGGGGGCAGAGGGGAGGAGCAAGGGTGGGGCACACTTGGGGGCAGAACAGAGTGGGAAGAGGCAGGGTAGGGGGGCAGCGCCTTGGGTGAAGGGGTGGAGTGGGAGCGGGGTCTGGAGAGGAGCCAGAGGGAGCACCCCCCGGCATATTACAAAGTCGGCACCTATGCCCCCACCCCATCAAAGCCAGCAGCCAAATGGCTAAATCACTCACCTGGGAAACCTGAATTCAGATCCCTACTCTGCCTGATTTGGAGCATGGACATGACTGCTGGTCACTACATCCTAGCTGTATACCCCAACCAGCCTGCATTGGGTGTTCAGGGGTGGGGCACTCACTTGTTGGCCAGAGGGGGCGGGGGTTGATGCTATAGCCCAATGGTCTATGGGCTATTAGGACACACTCCTGGAGCTGCCTTTTGTTTGGGGCCCAATCCTGTAGGCATGCGCCAAGGAGACTGAGGAGGGATATGACTGGTCTCTATAAATACATTGTGGGGTAAGCTAAAGGGCAATCTTAGTGTAACCCACGCACTTCCTAGGTGTGGTGCTCTGTCCCCTCTCACGGCACTGAGACCACTTAGAGATTAATGAGTCTGCTAGAGCCTTAGCTAAGAGGCATGTGGGTTTTAACTCATGCAGTAGAGGCTCATGTATTTAGCTCCAGAGGTCCCAGGTTCGATCTCGACAACTGGGGTCTGTTGGCATTACATTAGCACAGGATCCAATGGTTATGTACCGGCTGTGAAGAAACTCAGACTGGATATTAAAAGACGGTTTCTAACCAGGTGAGGTTCTGGAACAGCCTTCTAATAGGAGTTGTGGGGGCAAACAATTTCATTAGTTTTAAGAGAGTCCTGGACAAATTTTTGAGTGTGATTGTATGATGGGATTGCTTGTGATGATAGAGGGCATGGCTCAACAGCTCTGGGGCTCACTTCCAGTTTGCCTCTTATGTTCTTAAAGCTCATGCTTCAGGATTTCAGCCAGCTACCGGCAGGGGTCAGGAAGCAATTTTCCCCCTCGGTCAGACTGGCAGTAATCTTGGGGAGGGGAGTGCGGTTTGCCTTTCTCTGCAGCATGTTGAGGCAGGTCACTTGCCAGGATTATCTGGGTATATCTCTCAGTCATTTCCCTGCTATTGTGGGGGCCTTGAGTACTGGTGCACCTCGGTCCCTCCTGTTCTCTGCCTGTGGGCTTTCACACTTTGGTCTCACTTTGGGTACTGGGTTTAGTGTGCAGGGTCTAAGTGGCCTGTCATATACAGGAGGTCAGACTAGATGAGGAGAGGTCCCTTGTGGCCTTAAACTCTATACCCCTGCAATCAGGCTCCTCTGGGGGCACAGGCAAGGCAACACCCAGTTTGAGAATCATGCGAGGATTGAGAGGGGGCTCCAAGTAGCTCATTAGCTGTTACATCAGGGCTTTGGCAACTTTGCACACGCCCACCAGCGGGAATTTAAGGCACCTGCAGGCTTAAGTGACAACTGAGTGGCTGTTTTGAGAATGTCAGTGGTGCCTAAATGTTGGACTTAGGTGCCTAAAGAGGCAACTAGGTGCTGTGTACCTTTGTGACTCTGCCCCTTTGTGACTCTGCCCCTTTGTGACTCAGGAACACCCATCACTTTGGAAGTCCATAGGACCCATGCTCGCAAGTTACTTCGGTGCTTTCGAAAATCCCACCCGAAACATCCACATTTGCTTATGCCTTAGTTGGCTTTTTAATACTCTTTTTATGGGACAAATTCAGGTAAGATCTGGCCATTCGCACTGCAAGCTCCATAAAGCACATATCTAGTATAAAAAATCCCCACATCTTCCCTTGGGAAACGGCCACTTTTTAAAACAGATGGCACTTTATGATGTATCTTGGAAAATGTAGCCAAGAGTCTTAGCAATAATCAAAGAACATAAAGCATAAGATTGAACAAGAGTATCTGGAACCACACAGGCTGCCCTGGAGAAGAAAAGAGCTTGCGAGAGGAAATAAAAGCTGAACAGAGGTCCGATACGTGTCTAGAGACACTAACTGAACACACTTTCTCATGACAGGGGAATCCCTGACACTTGTCAAGGGGTCACTAGTTCAAGGCTGATGTTGTGCCTTCCTGTAGCAGACCAGAATTACATGTATTTAGATAAAGTAGAGAGACACAGGCAAGAAGACAGATAAGGCTATTTCATGCTTTCAGGAGCCGATCAAAGTAAAGCGCGATGGCCTATTCTGGAAATTGGAACACATGGAAAACAATAGAAGGCCCTGACTTTCAAAGGTCTTATGCAATCACATGTCTTGCTACTTACCTCTCCATTTAAGAAGCAATATAGAAGAGCGACAACAAAGCCCTAGGAAATTAAGGGGAAAAAAAGGTTATTTCTAAAAAAGGTGAACTTCCGCAAAGCAGGCCTTGGAGCACAGATAATTGTAGAGTGACGTCAGCCTAATTAATACTTTGATTAGGACACACAACAACATAATTTTTCCAATCAGTATTTATATGGCTTTCATATTCAGACTAAACACTGTCATGGCCCTGACATTGCATATGTGCACCACTTACCTCTAATGGATATAATCAGAACTGCTCACGTGTATGTGAGGAGCCCTTATATTGCGAGCAGTTAACCAGAATTCTCCTTTAGCTCAAGCAGCAAGGGTCTGTGTTTTTTAGAGCAGGCGGCTCTGAGTTCTAGCCCTGTTTTGGCATGAAATCCTAGGCAGGCCAAGGTTTTTTTTAAAAATATGTAGCAGTGAATTATAAGGCTATAATTATACAGCAGAGTTTTGACAGCATCTTTATAAATATGGCAAAGACTGTCATCAGTGAGATCATCAGAAACCTGTCATGTAATCACAGCTATGTAATGAAAGTGTGTTTTAAGTACTTCAGTGTGATATTTTCCAAAAGAGAACAGACAGTTGCTTCTGTTTATACACCCCTAAATGTTCTCCCGGAAGCCTAAAAATATCTTTCTGTAACAAACAGACTGTATGTACCCTGACCCCTGGTTCCTCCCTGGGGCCTATCATAGAGAGCATCTGGAGTAGACACGCCATGGGATAAGGACAGCTAAATTCTGGGGGTCAAAATGTCCACCCCATGCTTTCTCCTTTGGGCTGCAAGTTTACCAGTAAGTACCTGTGCCCAGCCTGTGTCGATAATTTGATTCAAAAGAGGCTGAAAAACAGTAAGCTATAAAAACTTCAGTTTCCCTTATAGACACTGTTTGTGGCAAAATATTTCTTTAGGGTGGAATTGCAACAGTTCCTAAATGACTTAGCAATGGCTTTCAATGGGACTTGTGCTCCCAAGTGACTTAGACAGTTTTGAAAATTACAGTTCTGGTGTATTTCTTTCTATTTCTAAAGCCAAGGAGGTGCCTCTCTATAGCCCCGTGTATCCTGACAACATTTCAGTTTGCCTACAAAACTGTGCAATAAAAGGAAACATCACTGTCAGCCTAACCATGTAACAAAATCCAGCCATGATAGAGCACAGCAGAGAGCCTGTCTCATGCCCGATCTCCTTCTGGCCCTGGCCCCACCCCCCACCCCCCTCGGCCCCGCAAGTGCCTGGCAGCTTGCCCAGAACATTAAGAGATTCAGGCTATTTCTGACCAAGAAAGGATGATCATTCCAGGGTGAAAACCTTGCCAAGAGCCAGGGAGTGCCAGCTAGTTCACCGTGACTCATTGCAACCCCAGCAATATGGCACAAGAGAGGTAGTTTCTCAAATAGGCAGGTCCCAGGTAATTTAAGTGTACCTGGGTCAAAAGCAACACCTTAAAATTCTGTCTCAAAGCCAACAGGTAGCCATGCAGAACACGGAACATTGGTGTAACGTTCACTGCATGGGCAGTTCATATCCCAGTCCAGTTTAAAGCTTCTGAATATACTTAAAGTGTAGCATCACCAGGTGTGCATTGCAGTCATCTAATCTCAAAGTGACAGAGGCATGGATGAAAGCAGCAAGGTCTACATCCAAAAGAAGAGCCATACTCTTCTGGCCATGATAAGATAGAGAAAGTGGTCCTGGCCATAACTGCTACTTCATCACGTAACAGCAGTTGTTGGTCTAACTGGACCCACAGACTAAGAATTCAAATAGTGAACGGTGGGTGCACTGCCAATGGAAGGAGAGAGACTGATGTTATTTCTCCTAACCTACTCTCATCACCTCTGTTTTATCTGGATTGAATGTCAGGCAGCTCATTCTGATCGACACCCGAGGCTTCATGAGACACCAGGTAAGGCACTTAGTCACCCTCCCTGGATTGGGCAAGGTTGGGACAGTTATTAATTCTGTCTTTGTTTATTATACCTGAAAGGAGCCCAAGCCCAGCTCAATATAAAGTCTAGCTTCCAATCCAGTGCTTTCTGGGCAAAACGCAAACACGATATAGTGCACTCCAAAGAGTGGGATCAGGAGCAGTGTGGATTTAGCTAGTCTCCTGGAAAATGAAAAAAAAAAAAAAAACACAAATGTGACACACTTGACAACATTTCAATGAATTTAATGGAAGGTGGGAAACTAACAGAACGGAGACTGAGGGCGTGTGCGCATGGCATAGCAATGCACACTATGGAGGGAGGGGAGAGGGGATTTCTAAAGCACACTAATATGCTGCACATTCATTGGTCTGTGTATACCCTGCTGGTGTGTAATAGTTAAAGTGCGGGAGGGAACTTTTAGTGTGCACCATCAGGATTCAGACGGACCAATTAATGCGCAACCCATTAGTGTGCTTTAGAAATCTCATTGCCGGAGTGCCCAAGGCTGCGCCATGTAGACAAGACCTAAATCCTCAATTTATCTACAGATCAGGCAAAGCCAACGTGTGTGCACCATGTCTAATGGCGATAGGGTCGTTCATTCTCTATGCCTTTGCAATCTTTTTGCTCTCTCCTGTGTCAACAGGCATGGATGCTAGTCTGTGGTACGCATGATGGCGGTTCTTCTGATGGAGCCACCTGTCCATTTTGAAATGGATGCAGGCCACCAACTCTTTTACATAGATAATCAAACATGCTTTTGGGGCTGAATTGGACTGGCAATCTAGTATTGAAATTTCTCCAGCCTTACCAAAGCCATGAGCCAACTAGTCCCCTGCGGGTTTCTAAGAGACCATTACAGAGGCTGGCAGGGTTGAGTCTCTCACGAAGGGCATGGAACCAGAATGGGAGGAGTTAAACAGCTGGGAACCAGTTGCATCTGGAGCTCATTCAACTACAGGCCATAGCTGATGTGCATAAAATAAGAAAGGTGAGGAAGAAAGGAGGGGCCAATTGTGTGGCAACCTAAGAGTGTGTGAAGTTGATTACAATTTGTTAGGTGCAGGGCTTTCAGTTGGGCCTCGCTGGTGGACTAGCATAGAGAGGACTTTATATTGGGGCCTCTAGAAAAAGAGGGCAGATTTCTACCGGCTCATACCTTAGAAACAAAGTGGCAACTCGACTTTGTTTTTTTGTTCTGGGAGTTACTTTCCCCACTATTGAGAAAGAGGCCACAGGGGGACACCCCCAGGAAACAATATCTTAAACCAGATCCAATGGGAGATAATACAAAAAAAGAAAAGGAGTATTTGTGGCACCTTAGAGACTAACCAATTTAAGGTGCCACAAGTACTCCTTTTCTTTTTGCGAATACAGACTAACACGGCTGTTACTCTGAAACCAACACAAAAAACGTATTGTCACTTACACAAAATGACTAGAATGGCTGCCGCTGACCTCTGGAGATTGTAATTTCTGCACCAGAATTCTGATCACATTGACAAATATAGTAAAGTTCATCTGCAAAGAGAAAAACGGGTTTCTAAGCTTCCTAGGAGACTGAGCCGTATCTTCAATGGGTGCAAATCAACATAGATCCATCCATATCAAAGCAGCTATGCCAATTTATGCCAACTGAATATCTGGTTCTCAATCTGTACACAGTCAAATAAATAATAAGGGCAACATTTTCTATCTTAGATGCCTAAAGTGACACCCCCAAATCCTTATTTAGGCACCTAAGTAAACATAGGGTGACCAGACAGCAAATGTGAAAAATCTGGACAGGGGGTGGGGGATAATAGGAGCCTATATAAGAAAAAGACCCAAAAATCAGGACTGTCCCTATAAAATCGGGACATCTGGTCACCCTAGGTAAACATGATCTGATTTTCAATTATGATGTGCTTCCACAATGACTTTGAATAGGAGGTTTACTTGCTCAGACCCTGAAAATCAGACCAATTTTTTGTTATGCCTAATGATGGATGTAGGTGCTAATCTTTAGGCACCCATGTTTGAAAAATTTGACCGATTCACATTTCTATAACGTTCCACAAAACAGATCTTGCAACACAATTTAAGTCAGCAAGAATCCTGCTCGCATATACAATGGCCAAATTTTTCCTAAACATGCATCCTAAGGGCTCAAGTGCAAAGCACACTGGCATGAAGTTGGAGAAAAGACTGAGGAGATCCTGGGGAGAGGGGCAATATTGTTCACTGGTTTGGAGAGAAAACAGAAGAATAAAAACAGGGGAAAGAGAAATGACTAGGCACAGGCATGTCACAAGCCCGTTATTATTACGTATTTGTATTGTGGTAGCTCCTAGGAGCCTCAGTCATGGACAGGACCCTGTTGTGCTAGACTCTGTACAAACACAGAACAAAAAGACACCCCGTGCTCCAAAGAGTTCACAATCTAAGTATATCTTCACATTTTGGAGATGGATTCTCTGGTCAGACACATGAGTAAGTGACACAAAATAGATGATCTTACACGTTACTCGATGCAATGAGCCTTTAAGGCTAAATTTTCCTGTACTTGCAAATGTGCAATGATCATGCATAGACAATGCAGGAGTGTCCTTATTTAGGCATGTTCCTGGCATTAGACTCTGAGTAATTAGCTTTGTATCACCTGTGTGTGATCTTGCACTATTGCCAGCCTTGGCTGGACACATATAGCTTACATTGGCTGAAATGGCATTCAATACACATGTCCCAGGGCAACATGCTGCCCTTCATTTGTAATTTTCATGCCTTTCACTGCTGCTTGTCTCTCTTCCACTCACGATATAGCAAGTGTTATGCAACAATTTCCAGCTTCCTAAAATTAAAAACAAATTAAATGCAGTATGCGGCACTGTATGCCTGTCTTACTGAAAAGAGATATGTGCTTAGCTTTCAGTTCTTCAAAGGATTGAACAGATCAAAGGCAAAACTCACTAATACAGATAGCAGTATGGGTCCCTTGATGATCCATAACACTGCTGTATTCTCATCATCATCATCCCAGCATCTGAAACAGGAAACTAAATAATTACCTGGTCTGGTTTGTGCTGAATATTAAACGACTCAAGTCTTGGTACAGAAAAGTGGTTGTCGTTAACTCTTGCTGTTAGCAATTTAAAAGCATCTCCCAAAAGTTCTTCCAGATTTTCACTCCCCAGAAGGTTGCTCTATAGCCTAATTCAAAGAAGGCTTATCCAACTTGAGGCAAAGGCCTTGTCTACACTGGTGGTAGTGTTTAGGGTACATGTGGCTACAGACTGCAGTGAAAAACAGGCTACGTTCACACTGCAGTGTGTAGCTTTATGTAGCAGTGAAAGGCTCTGGTAGCGGAGAGGCCATGGGGAAAGACCAGAGCCCTACTGCCAGAGACTTTCCCTGCTCTCTCCTCCTTGCCAGAACCTTTTCCTGCTCCCAGAGCCTTTCACTACGGTGGGGAAAGGCTCTGGCCACGGGACACCACACTGTAAAAATAGAAGTGTATATGTGGGAAGCACTGCTTGGGGTGTGGAGAGCCATGTAGGGTACATACACTAAGGATCTGGCATGTCTTTTCTCTACCCACTTAAACTGTGCCACTCCATCTACTCTGCTATTTCTATCCGTGCTAGGGGTACATGCCATGACTGCACACCGCACTCCACACACCGCTGTAAATGTTGACATAGCCAAAGTGAAACAAGGAAGGGGACATTATCCTGATTGCAGGCTGCTCATTAAGACTCTCTCTCCCCTGCTGTGTGGAGCTATATTTCAGGGCAAAGAAGAGAGGCTGGATTCAGCTGCAGTAAATCCAAAGCACTCCTCACTTCTTCGCCATGGCTTCCGGGCTGCTCAGCAGAGTCCAGGCACTGAGGTCCTGATGCCTCTTGATATATTTGGGTACCATAAATTAACATGAATGGAGCAAGGCAGACTGCAAGGGCCAGGTGAGTGGCAGTGGGCCAGACAGCCTTTCACCTTTAGGTCATTGGTCTGAATCTTTCCCAGGTTAGGAAGGAGTAGAAGTTGTTCCTATCTTGGGGCCTGTGTGAAGTGAATGGGAAGATTAAAGTTCAGCTCCTAGTAACCAAGCATCTGTGATATATTGCCCCCACTCCTGTTCTCAGGTTGAGAGGCTTTGCGGTCAAACCAAGGATTGAATGGAGATGAAAATGGAACAACACTTTCACTCCCAATAATAGTAAACCAGACTTGAAGCCTACTAGCCAGGTGCCATAGGGAAGCTTGCACTGTTTGATACAAGGACTAGGTAGAAAGGACTAGGACAAGGTAGAAAGTTGATGAGATAGAAAAAGTCTGTTCCAGATGGAAGGAGCTTCAGAGTATAAGACTCTTGCCCCAAGAGTGGTGAGATTGTGTGAAAAGACAGAGGAGATGAGTGCCAGAGGTAAGACAGTTCAATACACGGCATAATCATTCAAATGCAAGAGTTCACACGTACAGTATTGCCAACCCTAGATGTTCAAAAACTGAGTCAAGTCCCCCCCAATCATGTGATTGGCTTAAAACCCCCACGACTTCTGGAAAAATAATAAGTGTTTGGTTCTTTTTATTTGCCTTCTGGCTGCAGCGTGCACTTGCTTCACATTGTCAAGTTTTTCTGGCAACCATGAAGGATAGACACATATTTTAAAACAAAAGCCAAGGTTCTCCTGCAATATCATGATTGCAGCAGCTCGGGCTTTAAGAAAAATAACTCAAAATCGTGAGACTTTTGATCAAATCCTGAGCTGGCAACACTGTTGCTGCAGTCAGATGTAAATTGGGAGATAGTTCTCAAAACGACTTCCTCATTTGCCTATTTCTGAATTTTAAAGATTAAAAATGCAAATTCTTATGGTTAAAAGCTTTGGTTATTTTTTAAATCTCCCTTCTTGATGAATCACATTTACTGTGCCAAATGCAATGCCCAGCCGCACTATGATTCTGGCTCACCCTGTATTCTGTCTGTAGATTCGGGTTAGGATCCAAGCAGACATCACAGCACTGGGAGTTCCTAGAAGAATCAACGCAGAACACAACATGGCACAAGATCACTTTTTGAATTTAAGTGCAACCCAGGATCTACCCCGCCCCTTCCCTGAGGCCCCACTCCTTTCCCCAAGGCCCCGTGCTCCGCTCACTCCATCCCCCCCCTCCATCGCTTGCTCTCTCCCACCCTCACTCACTTTCACTGGGCTGGGCCAGGGGTTTGGGGTGTGGGAGGGGGTGCAGGCTCTGGGCTAGTGCCGAGGGGTTCAGAGTGTGGGAGGGGGCTCTAGGCTGAGCCTGGGGCAGGAGGTTGGGGTGCAGGAGGGGGTACATGGTGCTGGCTCTGAGAGGGGGCTCAGGGCTGGGGGTTGGGATGTAGAAAGGATGAGGGCTCCTGCCGGGCGGCTCCCATGTGGTGGTGCAGTGGGGCTAAGGCAGGCTCCCTGCCTTCCCTGGCCCCATGTCACTCCGGCAATCAGCCAGCATGCCCCGGCGGCCCCTGGGGGCACGGGGAGGGGGGGGAAATGTGGCTCAGTGTGCTGCCCCTCCCTGTAGGCACCACCCCCGCAGCTCCCATTGGCTGCAGTTCCCTGTTCCCGGCCAATGGGCGCTGCAGGGACGGTGCTTGCAGGCAGGAGCAGCACACTCAGATCCCTGACCACCCCCAAAGCCTGAAGGGGCATGCTGGCCTCTTCCAGGAGTGGCGTGGGCCCAGGGCTGGGAGGGAGCCTGCCTTAGTCCCGCTGCACTGCCGGACTTTTAGTGGTTGGAGATCGCGATCAACTGTCAGAGGCTCCAGGATTGACCAGTCGATCACAATCTACCATTTCGTGACCAGCGCCTTAGACTTTGGGTGCCCAGTGTTAGACCCCTAATGTGAAATGCTCTCTTTGGTGGAGTCAGTGGCAAAAATCCTACTGATTTCAATGGGCCCTGGATTTCAACTTTTGGGCAAAAATTTCAGAAGTATCCACTAATTTTGGGTGCTTCATGCAACCTGATAGGCAGAGCCCCAGTCACCCCATGTGTGCAGTAGGGACAATTACATTTATCTACCTCCTGGGGGCACTGTGTAGCCTGATGAAAATAATGCAGGTGAAGTTTTTATCTTAGTCCAAAGTATTCTTAAGGCAAAGATCAGACTAGAACGCACGAGTTCCAGTTTCCCAGACCTGTACGGCCACATTGCCGAGTGCATTACACTCACACCAGATACTTCATGGGGTGTCTAGAAAGTGACAAAATGTCCACCCGGGATTATTTTAACAAAAATAAATAAAATACTGCAATTGCATTGAACCTCGTGAATTGTCAACGCTCATCGAAAATGCATCTCATGGCAAATGCTTTTCAGAGCTCTAGACATAACTGCAAGAAGGCACATACACAAGCAAAGGGAGAAAACATGAGAGTGTACTAACCCCAGCCAACCAAAATGAACCACCACACGTACTGTTTATCAGAAACAAATGTCAACAGCAGCAGTGTTTGCAAGTACATCCCTTCTACCAGGAGCCAGAAGAAGTTGGCTAAAATGCTGAACTGAAAGAATGCGACTGCAACCTTACATGCAACCTGGAGACACACAGGGAAAGGAGAATATTAGCTGCAGTCTCTGAAGTCAGTCATCTTAAAGGTCCTGGGAAAAAGCTGGGAAAATCTGAACCAAGAGAAATATGCACGTACACAGGTTCTGTTCGAAAGCCTCTTGAACTCAATAGATTTATCATTGACATCAACAGGGTTTGGGTTATACCCATAGATTATACAATTCTAGTGAGTGGTGTACAGTTGTCTGAAAGTGAACATTTAGGCCTCCATTGTGGGCCAAAATCCTTACTCATGTAAGCGGATGAAACTCTGCTGAAGTTGACAGAGTTGTGCTCTCGTACACCAGAGTTGAATTTGGCCCTTGGTATTTCTTTCTGTGTCTGATGCGATTTGCTACTTTGGTATATTGCAGGCCAAGTTGGAATTGCAAGCTATCACTGTAAGAGGGGTTTTTTCGGGGGTGGAGGTGGTTCCTGATCCTGCTTGCAGGCTAGGGATCCTTGTAGGAAAGCATGGGATCTGGGCCTACCAGAATGAGTCTGAAGACAGACAGCCTAAAGCAAAGTGAGGTGAGCTGTGCCTCTCTGTTTTAGGGAGCATCCTGTTTTCTCTTTCTCTGTTTTGGGGATTTTGTGTGTTAATGGTTTAAATTCTATTCAATAAAGTACTGCTACATTGCAACCCTCGAGAAAGATAAAAACATAAATACTCTAATTTGTCTGTGTGTATGCCATAAACATAACAGCACCTAAAGTATGATGATCTCAGACCCATAAAACCAAAATACAGGACAGAATCAGGAAATCTCAGTGTTACCTCTGTAACAAGGATTAACCAGTAAAATCAAACACAGTGACAGAGAAGAAAAGATTGGTACCGTTGACATTAAGCAGTGGTCCATATTTTCATCAGCAAACAAAACAGCATCTTTAATGAAAACAGCAGTGGCTCTGAGGATGAAAGAGACAAACAGGTGCATGTGGATGTAATTCCGTGTACAGTGGAATTTTCTGAAATGAGAAAATAAAAAGGGAAATCATTCCTTAAAGAGAAACTTCAGTTTACCCCATCTAAAAACCAATCAGGAATCCATTCTGTCTTCAGACATCACTCAGCAAGTCAAAACAAGTACAGTAGGGCATGCTTTCCCTGTCGTGCCCCAGCAAAGTCTCAGCCTTGAGCTAGAGAAGCCATTTCTTAGAAGCAAGGCAATAGCTTAGCTCATTCTCTTTGTTCCTGGGCCCCTACCACTATTACTATGGAATGTGACAGTTGTGGTGGTGGTTTTATGCCTATCCACTGGAAAACAGGCTTGGACAATTTGTGATTTGATTCAATGCTCATTGGAGAGACACCCCTTTTGACTCCAGTGGATGTTGGACTGGTCTCTTATTGCATAGGTCACTGTGTTGATGCTAAATAGTAATGATTTCCATTGATTACCACCCAGGGCTGGATTTATACTAGTGGCCTAAAATCAAAAGTTTCTGTCCCAAACTCATCACTTATCATCCAAACTCAGCACAAATAAGATCATCAGAATGGCCATGGTCCACCTAGCCCAGTATCCTGTTTTCCGACAGTGGCCAATGCCAGATGCTTCAGAGGGAATGAACAGAACATGGCAATTATCAAAGTGATCCATCCCCTGTTGTCCAGTCCTAGCACCTGGAAGTCAGAGGTTTAGGGACACCCAGAGCATGGGGTTGCATCCTTGACCATCTTGGCAAATAGTCATTGATGGTACTATCCTCCATGAATTTATTTAATTCCTTTTTGAATGTGCAGGTTATTTTCCCTCGATCTCTGTGCATAGCTCCTATAATCTGTAATGGATGGTACAGGCACATCTGAGGGGAGTTTATGGAGAGAACGTCCTTGCTAAGCATGGGGAAAGTAGTTGCCCTATGTGAACTGTGAGGCCATCATGCATGGACACAAGCCATATTCCCATTAAAAAAAAACCCTCCAGGAGGAATAGTGAGAGGGTACACAGTCAGGTCTTATGTTTTAAAGTCTGCCGGGAAATATCACACCACAAGTGATGGAGAATAGGTTACCGTGGATGGAAATATTGTGTCTGTGATAGAATGCAAAAACTGGAAAATAAAACCAGTTGGAGTTGCAAGTCACAGAGATGAGAATTAGGATGAAGCTGAATGGGGACTTCAAATACCTCAAAGGCCGCTGCAAGCATTTACCTGAAGATGGCAAAGATAACGAGAGCTGTAATGAGTGAAGTCAGAGATGTCGCATAGCCAGCGGTGTAGACATGCCAAAATGCAGAATAATATGATTTCTATGAGAGGAAGAAAAGACAAAAATATAGATGGATGTGCAGCATTCATCCCAGTGTGCCCATTTGACTAAGGCATGACTAAGGCACCTCAGCCACAGAATATAAATTATATTTTACAATCTCCAACGTGCTTTATAGTGGAGAGGGGCTCTAGACTGGGACTTGGGAGACTTGAGTTCTAGTGTTGGCTCTGCAACTGATCTTCTGCGTGACCTTGGGCAAGGCATTGGCCCTCCCTGTGCCTCAGTTTCCCCATCTGAAAAATGCAGATAATGGTTTGGGCTTGTTGAAAACTTTCCTTTGAAATGGGTTTTCAGCAGAAAACTGGGTTTTTGATTAAACACATTTTCTTGTGAAGTGTCTATTTTACCAGGAACAGTTTGATTTTTTTCCATTCCACACCCAAAAAAGCTTTCAACCAATACCAGAAAATTTTCAGATTTTGGCTGAAAATTTTCAATGTTTTGACAAAAAGTCAAATTTTTCTGCAGAACACTCCCCTTATTTTCTGACCACCTCTAACAGTGACTCATACCCCTCCCCCCCGTGCAAAGGACTTTGATGTGTATAAATGTGCTAAATGAGCCCGATCCAAAGCCCCCTGAAGCTACTGGAAAGACTCAATTCACTCTAATAGCTAAGTATTGTTAAGATGTGTCTTGGTTTTACAAACCCTTGCGGTTCAGGTTTTATATCTGCGACATAAAAGCAGGGGTGTCTGGCAGCTGGGCTTCATTTATTTGAAGCACCAATGTTTGGGAGCATTTGGATAAACATGCCTAGCTGTGGCCTATCCCAAATCCTCAGTGAAGGTTTGATGGTTCAAGGTGCTGAGCTTTGCCAACTCTCATTGAAGCTGCTGGGAGGTGTAGTCACTCAGCATGTCACAAGTGTTCAGCACCTTGCAAATTCTGTGACTAACTAATTGTTTCAGGACCAGATGCAAGGCCTATCAGAACTAATGGGTGTCTAATGTACTTGAATGGGCTATGGATCACGCCTCTAGTGAGTAGGTACAGCTAAGCAAAAAGTAACAGATGAGGAAACTGAAACATTTGAGAGGGATAGCTCAGTGGTTTGAGCATTGGTCTGCTAAATCCAGGGTTGTGAGTTCAATCCTTGAGGGGGCCATTGAGGGATCTGGGGCAAAAATTGGGGATTGGTCCTGCTTTGAGCAGGGGGTTGGACTAGATGATCTTTTGAGGTCCCTTCCAACCCAGATATTCTATGATTCTCTATGATTATGGAGCTAAGAGACTGACCCAACATCACACGGTGTGTTAATGGAGTTATTTCCTGAGCTCTGACACAGAGTCCTTAATTCCTAGTTTCAAACTCAACCTAATAAGGGTATTTCTATACTGCAATCAGAGGTGTGACTGCAACATGCATCGACATACCTAAACTAGCTTTGCTCCAGCTATCTTGAATATCAATAGCAGCGAAGCCGTGGCTGCACGGACTAGCCGCTCAAGAATATAACCAGGGTCCTGGGTGGACTTAGAATCATAGAATCATAGAATATCAGGGTTGGAAGGGACCCCTGAAGGTCATCTAGTCCAACCCCCCTGCTCAAAGCAGGACCAATTCCCAGTTAAATCATCCCAGCCAGGGCTTTGTCAAGCCTGACCTGACCCTTTCAGGTAGTTGAAAGCAGCTATCAAATCCCCCCTCATTCTTCTCTTCTGCAGGCTAAACAATCCCAGCTCCCTCAGCCTCTCCTCATAACTCATGTGTTCCAGTCCCCTAATCATTTTTGTTGCCCTTCGCTGGACTCTCTCCAATTTATCCACATCCTTCTTGAAGTGTGGGGCCCAAAACTGGACACAGTACTCCAGATGAGGCCTCACCAATGTCGAGTAGAGGGGAACGATCACGTCCCTCGATCTGCTCGCTATGCCCCTACTTATACATCCCAAAATGCCATTGGCCTTCTTGGCAACAAGGGCACACTGCTGACTCATATCCAGCTTCTCGTCCACTGTCACCCCTAGGTCCTTTTCCGCAGAACTGCTGCCTAGCCATTCGGTCCCTAGTCTGTAGCTGTGCATTGGGTTCTTCCGTCCTAAGTGCAGGACCCTGCACTTATCCTTATTGAACCTCATCAGCCTGTGCTGTCCTAGCTTCACTGCTATTGTTATTCAAGCTAGCTAGATCAGCGCTAGCTCTGATTGGTCTCAATGTGCTGCAGCCACACCTCTGATTGCAGTGCAGAGGGCCCTAAGTGACATTGCCTCTCTGATATTACCCTTTAACACCGCTAAGTTCATTTTGACATGTCGCATAGTGATGTATCCTGAGAAAAACAGGAAGCATCATCGAGCTTTGCCTCTGCAAATTGTTTTCAGTTTCACTACAGGGCCACCTGATTATTCCAAATCATAAGGAACCAAAATCCTTAGTTTGTTGCTGGTCAGTCAAATTTCCTCAGGGCCGATGCAAGTGCCGCATTGTCCTAACCCTAACCTTGTTTATCAAAAGGCTTAGAAGCTGCCAGCAACTCCAGGCTGAGACAGTCATTTATCAATTTTAAATTCAGAAACGTTGGCAGGAAACCTGCTCATTGAAGAATCATCCTGGCATTTGGTGAAATCACTGTAACATTTTCTATGCAACATGCTACACAAAGGTGGAAAGCAGGAGACTTGTTCAACTGTGCAGGCGGGTGGGTCAAAGGCTCTTTCCTCTTCTGGGGTAGCTGATAGAAGCACGGTAAGCAGCAGAGTCCAAACAGGTGAGAGTGAAAAGGGTACTCAGGTTCTGAGTATGCAGAGAAAACACTACCCACTAGCTCTCCCACAGTGTGTTTTATACACGGTCCCTGGTATTTATCTGACCCCCTCCCCAGTTACCACAGGAGCTGAGTACTTCATCATCTTTGATGGATTTAACCTCACAACACCACGTGAGGTAGGGCAGTGCTGTTGAGTCCCCGTTTTACAGATGGGAAACTGAGACACAGAGAGGCCAAGCTACTTGCTCTAAGCCACATGGGCAGAGTAATGACTTGAGCCTAGGTCTCCCGCGTACCCTAACCATTGGACCATCCTTTCTATCTTCAGAGAAGGCTGATGAACACAAGTCTCTGGAACCCTAATTTAAAAGGAACCGTGAAGACGACTCTTCCCCTTTCACTGTATGCAATGTTCCCCATAGAAGCAAAGGGTTAGGCAGCAGGCTATCTTCTCCACCCAGATAGATACCGGACACAGCAGGACAGACTCTTCTATGCCAAGATCCATTCAGTGCAGGATGAGGGGGCCATAACTGGCTCCCCAATTCTCCACCTTGCATTGTGTCAGATCCAGCCCTGATGTCATTTAGTCCAAGAGGCCATATGACAGCTGAGAACCACAGGAGTGCAATCCCCCTCTAGTCCTAGTTCCTTCCTTGTCCCTGATACCCCCACCTATGCTGGGGTTGGGTTGGGGTGGTGGAGGGGCCAGCTCCACTGGCCTTATGGAGTACCCAGGGAAGTCTCAGCTGGACAGTACAGTCAATCAAAGGAGAGAATCTGGCTTATGTATATTCAGCATTCCTCAGGGTGTTTTCATGGGGGCAGTTCTGGGTTTGCTCCTCCTAGGTGCATCTCCAACCCAATACTGACCTGATCTTCAGGGCCTTTACTGGAACCTTCATCGAATCCGCAGGCAATGGAGTACGGTGGGTACGGTTCTGACCAAGATGCTTCTTGCGTACAGTTTCTTTGCAGAAAACCTGAAAACAGTGAAACACATCAGCAAATGACCCATATGGTTTAGCAGTGACAAGAAACAGCTTATTCTTAGTGCTCAAATCCTCAGACCTATTTTCTTACTTATTGATACTTCTGGATGTGCTAACTGCTTTTAGCAAGTTTGGCTATACAGAATGAAAGCTACTTTAGCTATCTACCTTGTGAAACGTTGAGACAAATATTCAAATGAACACAGTGGTGAGCTGGAGCCAGTTTGCACCAGTTCCCTGGAACCGGTTGTTAAATTTAGAAGCCCTTTTAGAACCGGTTGTCTGTGGGTGCTCCAGGGCTGGAGCACCCAAGGGGAAAATTTGGTGGGTGCAGAGCACCCACCGGCAGCTCCCCGCCCTGCCCCCAGCCCACCTCCGCTCCACCCCGCTCTGCTTCTCTGCCCCCCCCCCCCCGGGTTCCCACGAATCAGCTGTTCGCACGGGAAGCTGGGGGGGGGCTGAGAAGCAAGTGGCGGCTTTGCGCTCAGGCCCAAGGAGGTGGAGCGGAGGTGAGCTGGGGCGGGGGGGGGGGGGCGAGGAGGGCCTCCCTGGGCCTGAGCGCGAAGCCGCCGCTTGCTTCTCAGCCCCCCACCAACCTCCCCAGCTTCCCGCCAAACAGCTGATTCGCGGGAACCCGGGACAGGGGGCGGAGAAGCAGAGCGGGGTGGTGCGTTCAGGGGAGGAGGCAGAGCGAAGCAGAGGTGAGCTGGGGCCGGTCACAGGGTGGGGAGCTGCCGGTGGGTGCTCTGCACCCACCAAATTTTTCCCGTGGGGTCTCCAGCCCCGGAGCACCCACGGAGTCGGAGCCTAAGGCGCCACTTTTGATGTGATCAGTGGGGGGAGCAGCCACTCCCCCTGCTCCCCCTCTAGCTTCACTCCCCCGTCCCTAGGAGCCAGAGGGACCTGCCCGATGCTTCCTGGGAGCCACCCCAGGTAAGTACCCCCCGGACTCCCCACCTCGCCTCCCGGCAGGTCCCTCTGGCTCTTAGGGGCAAGACGGGGTGGGCACCCACTACAATGGCCCACGAGACCCTCCTGCCCGGTTCTGGGGACAGTCAGGGGACAGGGGAAGTGGGTGGATGGGGCATGGGTCTGGAGGGGGGCATCAAGGAATGCAGGGGGTTGGATGGGGCAGGAGTCCAGGGGGGCGGGGGTGGGCCACGACCCCCTCGTGCGTTGAGGAGGGAACCGGTTGTTAAGATTTTGGCAGCTCATCACTGAATGAACGGGGAAGTAACAAAGCAGCTTCCAGGTTTATATAGGAATTACATACTATGAGCTCAATTTGTATACAGAGGCACCTAAGTCATGCATCCAAAGCATGCCTTTAAGAACCAGTTTGGTTCTTGAGACATATGACTACTCAGTTGATTAGACACACAAGGTGGGACCACCACGGCAACAGCACTGCATACCCACTTGATAGCATTAATAACAATACTCTGCATGTCTGTAATATCTTTTACCCAAGGATCCCAAAGCCCATATAATTTCCATTCACCTCCAAGCCAGAAAGACTTAAGCCTCTCAGCACTTCAGGAAGGTAGGGTAGTGTTATTATCCGCATTTTATAGATGAAGAAATGAAGGCTATGTCTACACTGCCCCGGGTGTGAATAACTGGGTGCACCAAAGTGCTACACTATAAACCCTCCATATGGATGTTGTGGGCACTAACTAAAAGGTTCCTAGTTCATGTTTAATGTAGTTCAGTTTGAAGGGGACTATTTTTTAGCAGATTTCAGAGTGGTAGCTGTGTTAGTCTGTATCAGCAAAAAGAAGGAGGAGTACTTTTGGCACCGAAAAGACTAAATTTGTTAGTCTGTAAGGTGCCACAAGTACTCCTCGTTCTTTATGTTAGCAGAGTCCTCAGTAACTTGCCCAAGGTCACAGAGGATCTGCAGCAAAATCGGGAATAGAAACCAGGAATCCTGACTCAAAGGACCCCATCGCAAGACCATCCTTCCTCTCAATTACGGTAGGATAGAAAAAGTTGTCTGGGCTCTGACATTTGGCTCCCATCCTTCCAGTGATACAAATGATGCCACTATTTTAGCAAGATACTCCCCACTGACTGTCACAGCGTTTGGCTTTTGTTTTGAAATGGTGAGAGGGATTACTGCTAGAGCTGGCCAATCTTTTTTCAATGGATGTTTCGCTGTTGAAAAATGCCATTTCATCCACGTGGGTACTTACTGCAGAAATTTGTCAATGTTGATGAAATTTCTTTTAAGGGGGAAAAAAACACCAAAAAGAAGCATTTCAGTCTTATTGGAATGGGCCATATCAATTTTTTGTTGCAAAATGACTTTTCATTTGGAATTTTTGATTTTAAATTATTAATGATAACAGCAAATATAAAAAGTCAAAATGTGAATGAAACAGTTCACTTGTATCAAAATGGAACATTTGAAATGACCCGAAACTATTTCCTCCTCTCCCCCCCATAAATTTAGTTTTGTGAGAAATTTCAAAAATTCTTTTTTTGTTCCAATTTGGAACAAAATTTAAATTTGAAAGGTCAGAATTTCCCATAGAACACAAATTCTTAGTTTCTACCAGCTCTAATTATAACTTTATCAACTTTCAGACTGCATCCACTGGCTACGGGATTCTTTCAAAAGAGACTATTCCTTTAAGTACGGGTGCTCAGGGCCTTTTATTTTCCACACCAAATTCAAACACACCTTTTTCAAATGCAATTCTAATCTACAGCGTATTCATGCTGGGAAGTGCTTCTGTTTTCCAAATTTTGGGCTGCTAAAATGGGCAAAATTAGGAAGAGTTTTATTTTTTCTAAGCTACTATCCATAAGGGCTAAATATGTCCTTTGTATTTGTGCATGTAGTTTCTACTACTTTCAATACGACTGCAAAGACCAGTGCATTCCCTAGATGATTGCAAAAATCACTCTTTACTGACTTCATTCCATCTCTTGGCAAATGGCTGTGATCAGACCAGATTAGAATGGGCAAAGGGATTGTGAAGGCATAGCTGTCCAAGTGGAGGTATTCATGTATTGAAAGATCAATGGTTCATCCAGTCCATTATCTGGTCATGGACACTGCTGCATGTAGGATACATTAGAGCAGTGCTACTCAAAGTGGTGGTCCGCAGACTGGTGCCGGTCCGCGAGCCATCGGCTGCCGGTCTCCACGCACATTGGAAAAAAAGTTTGCCGGCCCCCCACATCAGTCAGCTTGAGAAGCACTGCATTAGAAAAACCCGCTCCAAAAATGTGCCTAATGAATGTATGTAACCCTGAAAAAGAATTCTTCCTGACACCAGTAATCTCAAGCCCTGATAGTAGTGGCAGATTACTGCATATGCCAATGGGGCCCAGGCCCAGGGGCCCGAGCCAATTTGGGGACCCCAGAAAAATCTCCCTCCATTGCAGCCCCAGAGCAAAGCTTCTCCAGTCTCGGTGCCACAGTGGGTGGGGAGGGGCATGGAAAGGAGTGATTGGGGGCGGGGCTGTAGGGGAAGGGGCGGAATGGGGGTGGGGCCATGGGCAGAATGGGGAAGGGTCTGCAGGGGAAGGGTGGAACAGAGGGGGACCATGGGTGAAACAAGGTGGGGTCGCAGGCAGAAGTGGGGGGCAGGGCCACAGTTCTGGTGCCGGGTCCCCCTCCCTTGCTCCAGCCCAGGGCCCTAGATCTTGCATGAATGTTGATTGTCTTAGTATCTCAGTCATTATGCATATTTTTAAATGGCTAGGAATGTTAATAATAGGAAAAAGCATTCTTGCCGTGTACGTTGGTGATTTCTTCAAAGAATCCGGGACATGCAACTTTTACCACTTCTCCAAAAGTGGCTTTGGGCCAGCAACTCAGTCCATCCCAATCCCCTGGGCATCCTGGAAAGAAAGAGAGTCTGAAATTAAAGAGACACCTGCAGAATGAGGCATTTCAAAAGTCTTGCAATCGCTTACGGAAAGATTGCCTGTGTCTTTATCAGTGGACCAAGTGTGAGACTCAGCTGCAGTTCTTACTTAGCCCAGATTCACAATTACGTGGTGTGATGCTGGCAGACCAGGTGCCAGCTCTTGCCAAGGCTTTAGGAGTGTGTTAGTAACTGGTTAAGATGGGTATTGGGCTTATAACAATGTCTTTAGTGTTCAGACTTTATGAAATGCTTGTAAATTGCTATATGCATTCATCTCACTTATACTTTCTTTATCACCTGTGTGGCAAATTGCTGGTACCATTATGATGGGTCCCACACTTCCTTTTCTTTGGGGAGGGGGGGTGTTAAGGGCGTAGTTTTCTGCCCCTGAACTAGGGAATTTACTGTCCCACTAGTAACCCAGAGAAGGGTAGTGGAGAGGGAGGGACCCGGGCCAGCCCTCTACTCCGGGTCCCAGCCCAGGGGCCCTAGGGATAGTAGTAAACCACTTGAACTAGTGCTTCCTTCCCCTGGGCTACTTCCCTCTCCTGCTCTTCAGCTTGTGGGGCTTCCTGCCCTCTCTCTCTGCACAAGCCGGGTGTCTCGTTACCCAGGGTCTTGGTCTTCTAGCAAGCCACGGCACTTCTCCAAACTCTCCTCTACTTCAACTCCTCCAAACTGCTCTCTGCTCCAACTCCTTCCCCTGGCTGATTGAAGCAGGGGGTTTTATCAGGTAACTAGCGTCAGGTGCTCTAATTGGCTTCAGGTGCTCTTAATTAATCTATAGAAACCTTTCTTCCCTCTACAGGGAATAAGGCTTCTTCTCATCCTGGGACTTACATATCTCTCCTATATCACTCATGGGCTGCCTTCTGGCCACACTGTATCACACCTACTATAAGGAAATATTTACATTTTTGCCTGTAACTGAAAAAAAATGTTTGCTCTGAAACTGTGAACCCAGTCAGAAGGGACCATCTCCTGCACAACAAGAAGGCCTATCAAAACTAAATGGGCCATTGTGGGACATCACAATACAAAGACTTTGTTAATTACCCTCTTACACCCATGAAGAGACTATGTGCAAAAGGGCTCATCCCATCAGCTTACATTTTGGAAGAAGGAAATAAAAACCGCTGATAAGAAATTTTTTTCATTTCTTTTGCTGTCTGGCCTCTCCCGTGAGAGCTACTAAAGAGAAGCATAGATTAAACTAAGTTAGCCGTAAAAGAAATTTGGAGCTGACAGATTCCTGCAACTCTGTCACCTTGTAAAACCATAGAGTGTACCTCAGTTGTGAATATATGCTTGCCTGCTTTAACATGGTAATAACTCGTTTATTTTCTTAGTTAATAAATCCTTAGATAGTTTACCATAGAATTGGCTACAAATATTGTCTTTGGTGGGAGATCTAAGGTACAAATTGATCTGGGGTAAGTGACTGGTCCTTTGGGACTGGGAGGAACTAGAATATTTTGTGATCTTTGGTGTATACCAACCATCTATCACTAAGACCAGCTTGCCTGGGTGGCAAAATAGACTAGATTGCTTAAGGGGACTGTCTGTGACTCCATGGTAAGACTATATTAGTGCTTTAGGAGTTCACACTTGCTACTGGTGAAATCTAATTCTAGAACACACAACCAATTCGGGATCTCTGTCCTGCTTTTTAACAGTCTGCTGTAAGTTTGGCACTTACAGTCATGAGCCACTCTAGGCAGCATGACACATGGTTGTGCTAAATCCCATTCAGTTCCACAAATTTAGTAGGATGTTGTTTTTCTATTTTACAGTCATGGACACAGTATCTCACATACATTTTTCATCTCATCTGTATCTTTTCTTTTCTTGAGAAAATGGACATAAAAGCAGGGGTGAAAGTAAAACACAGATCTTACCAGTACGGAGCCCACTCTGCCCTCCCCCGGCAGGGGCAGGGCCTCAGGTGGAAGGGGCGGGGCCAGGGGTGAAAGTAAGTTACATTTCTTACCGGTGCAGTCCAAACGCAAGCAACCCACCTCTCCTACATACTTCATGGATCCCTCCCACTGCATGACTTAGATATAGAAAATAAAGCTACTCCTACTCCTACCAGTAACTGTCTGTAATAAAACTTTAATATTGGAATAAGCCTGAAAAAGTGAAAACTCACTGTCACATTTTTCTCCTTGTCCTCCCTCCTCCTTCAGCCAGGCTGCTGACATGGCTAGGCTCCATGCTTCCCCTCCCCTAACCTGGCACTCAGCAGGGGCTGCAGTGGCTCCCCTCTATCTTGCAGCCAGGAGAAGGGGGACTGGCTGAGGGAGAAGCCTGCCCAGGACACCTGCTGCCTGCTTAGGAACAGTTTAAACTCAGCTGTTCACTCCATGGTTCAGCCCGCGGGCTAAGGGGCCATTTCTGACATCCTTGTTAATTTCACTCACCATTGTTGGGGTGTTAGATTTGAACTTGGAAATGGTTCCTCATTTTGATTGTATTTTTTGTGTATTATACTATTGGAGATTGCTTCATCCAGGGGGCAGAAAAGAACTGCCCCTGCCTTGGTCACCCACCCCACCCACCCAACAACTGTGAGTGAAATTAACAAGGATGCCAGAATTGGCCCCTAATCCCACGGTCTGAACCGCGGAGGGAACACCTGAGTTTTAAACTGTTCTTATCAGGTGGCAGTCGTCCTGGGCAGGCGTCTCCCTCAGCCAGTCCCCCTGCAAGCTAGAAGGGAGCCGCTGCAGCTGCTAATGAGTGCCAGGCGGGGGAAAGCGCGGTGCCTACCTGCCTTCCGCAGCCTGGCTGGAGAAGGAGAGGGAGAGAAACAACAAACAAATGTGACAGTGAGTTATCCCTTTCCAAGCTTTTATTAGCTCTGAGTTTAAACTGTTTGTTATGCAGCCAAAAGAGGGGAAAGTAAGCCAGTACTAAATGCTCCACTCATTTGCTGGTACGCTGCTGCACCTTTCCTTACCGGTACTCCGTACCTGCCCGGACTGGCTTACTTTCACCTCTGCATAAGAATCAAGCAACTGCAATCCTAACTGTACCATCATCTTGAAAAAGGAGCTCTGGTAATCAGAAAAACAAAACTGGGCAACAAGAAAAATTGTTAATGGATTTATCCTCACATCACATCCATAAGGTATGGGAATAATAGTAATTTCCTTTTACAGATGAGAAACTGAGACACAGAAAGGCTAAATGATTAGCCCAGAGTCTCACAGGAAGTCGTGACAGGGGATTGAACCCAGGTCTCTCAAGTCGCAGGTTAGTACCTCAGGTTCAGTTTGCTTCCCTACTCTATCACAGACATCCTATGAGAGCCTGGACTAGACCGTTAGACTTTCTGTGCCTCAGTTTTGTTCTGTGAAATGGGAATAATAGTAACTGCCTACTTACAGGGGCGATGTGAGGACAGCATAAATTCAGCTCCACGGAAACCAATGGACGTGTGACAAATTACCCAGCAGAGGATGTGACCCTCCCGAAGCTTATACTGGCTATGAATGTAAGCAATGGACAAATAAAGTGTATTATCAACATAAAACACCACTACAATCAAAAAGAAAAAAGAGATGCTTCAAGATACAAGTTCTTTACAGAGCACAAGTGATGAGAAAAATCAGGCCAGACCTTCCAAAACTTTACTCAAGAGACCAGGCCTTGCTTATGCAGCTAGCCCTATTGAAGTCAAGCACAGACTGCTCATGTCAGGTTTTGCAGCAGAGGGCCTATGTCTCTTACCTTTTAAGATGGGTAAAGTAGCTTCATTTTTTTCTAAACATAGAGCCTGGTCTTTCACCACCTGTTGGAATATCTTGCATTCCGGATGGATAGAAGCAACCTGGGCAAGAGATAGGTAGAAATGGTGGGTGCGATTTAACAGGTTCCATGGTGAATAACTCTCCCCTTTGCTGACATATTCTTAAGAATCTTAATACAGTTGTTGGAGGAATACACCCTGGAGCTTGATATTAGATTCAAAATTAGACAGAGGTGCCAACTTTCTGATTTCCCCGGGGGTGCTTGACCCCTGCTGATCAGCGGCGGGCGGGAGGTGCTGGGGGAGGAGTTGATCGGTGGGGCCTACCAATGGGTGCTGAGCACCCACTATTTTTCCCCGCGGGTGCTCCAGCCCTGAAGCACCCACGGAGTCGGTGCCTATGAATTGAGACTGTGAGCGCTTTGGGGGCAGTGACTTCCCAATCCCAACTGGGGCCAGGACAATACAAGTGATCAGCAACCGCAATTCCATCAGGAAGGAGCCATGGCGTGGAGTCATGGGTCTGAGCACATGTGTTTGTATCAATGGCTATGATGGGCCATTACGTAGAAGATGGGCAGCGGTAAGTAAAGTAGTAGAAGAGTTTTTCATTATGGTCTGAATTCTGATATACATTTTACATTAATATAACAAACGGCTGTGAACGCTGCATTCCCTGGGGACACCCCTCTCCCCCCCCCCTAAAGTCAGCAAGAGACTTATGGGGATGCAGTGAAAAATCTCCAGATATTTAAAAATGTAGTGTAAATGTATACATCAGCAAAAAAGAGGGGTATCCATACGCTCACAACATTGAAGTTCACCTACTAAGCTGAAAGAGGAGAAATCATAGTTAAGAACAGTGCAACAAAGTGGTATTCGTGGCCATGACTCGATCTAGATGGCCCTCGCCACGGTGATATCAGTTCACAATCATTTATGGATTTTTAGCCTCACAACACCCTGAGGTTAGGGTGACCACCTCTTCAAAAGGCAAAAGCAGGACATAAGTAGGAGCCCTGCCCCCCTCTGTGGCTCCGCCCCCTGCTCCTCCTCTTCCCCCTCCCAAGCCCTAGCCCCCTGCGGAGGGCCTGGGGGCCCAAGAGCAAGCCCCTGCCTGTGTCCCCACCCCCCAGGGCATGCCACCCAGGGCAGGGTAGGGACACAGCAGCTTGGACTCTCTGGGCAGCTCTTACTATTCCCAGCTGCAGCTTCCGGCCTGGCCAGGGGGCGGGGCCGTGGGGGGGAGAGGAAGAGCAGGGGGTGGGACCTCATAGTGAGGGGGTGCTAATGCCAACCTCAGTTCCCTCCCCCTTCCCCCCGCTCTCCCAGGGAAGAGACTGGCGCTGCCCTAAGCCTCGGGCAGGTGCAGAGCTACTCTGCAAGGAATTTGGGACAATTCAGTCCAGGACCGGGACTTGAACACTGTATTTCGGGACTGTTCCACCCAATTCAGGATGGGTGGTCCCCACTGCCTGAGGTAGTCCTCCCATTTCATAGACAGGGAACTGAGGGATAAAATAGACTAAGTGATTTGCCCCAAGTCACACAGGAAATCTGTGGGACAGCCAGGCTCTGAACCAAGAACTTTTGAGTCCCACTCCACTACCTTAGCCACTAGGCCAGCTTTCCTGCCTGTATCTACTTTACTTACACTAGAGCATGAGGAGGCCAGGAAGGAAAGGGGAGACAGATGGTGGTGCTGGAACAAATCTTTGTGTGCTCAATTTAATTTGATCCTATTCGGTTTTTCAGATTGTCTCCACCAAACTGACAGAGGGCCTGATTCTCCACTGTCTTTCACTGATGTGAAACCGGAGTAACTCCATGAAACTCAGTGGAGTTACACAGCGTAAAACAAGTATAAGTGAGAGGAGTATTAAGCAGAGTATCTGAGTGCTACGTATTGATAGCACCAAAAGTTTCATTCAGCTGAAGCCACTGGGACCATATGAGTGAATAAGGCAACACGATTTGGCCTTTTGCAAGCTGGCCTATTTAAAACACACCCAGAAGCACTGAAAATGCTGATTTAATCTAAGTGATAGATTGCAGATTTACCGAGACATTTCTGAAGAACACTGTAAGCCACCCTAAGCCCCTAAGTAAAAGTCTTGTCTTTTATTATACCAATCCTGACATTACCACTACACTGGGTCTCTTTTTTCAGTCACAGGAAGTTGATTTATAGACTTATGGAATGTTGTCAATACACAGCGCAATTTAATGGGAAATCAGGATTCTGTTTTTAGCCTGAATGGAAATTTTACTGCCCACATAAACAGTTAAAACTGCACAGGAATCTCCACCTAGAGAAAAGGGCAAGACTTCATCTTTAAAAATCCTTTGCAAGAACACCTACATTTGGGGCTTTAAAGGACTGTGTGCCTTTTAAACGTGTGGCATCTGCGATGGCTCACATATTAGAATGGAAAGAGAATGAAAGAGTTAACATGAAAAGAAAACAAAGACACACTCTAAACAATGGTTAATTTTCACCCATTGTGCTTTGACAATGGGCAACCTTAAATATATTTTTTAAAATCAGCATGATCAACTCCTAAAATAGCATCTCTTGTTATTGTACATTAGGAATATGCTTCTGAATTTAGTCTCTGAGGTGCCACAAGTACTCCTTTTCTTTTTCTGAATTTGCTATTATTCAGAATCCAACACAATGCTTCTTTAATTTTTTATCTTTTCAACGATATTGCATTTTGCACTGTGCTGGCACAACAAACAACTTTAGAAGCAGTAATAAAATGATTACTATGAAAATCAACCGCAATTTACATTTAAAAAAACAACAACCTTTCAGTGGTTTGGCTGGAAATAAGCTGTTTCTTCAGCTCCTAAAGTGTTTGTAACTGGTTGTTGATAATGGGAAATTGTTTATAGCTGGGATATTTTTACGCTGGGTGTTCGAAAGTCATAGGCGTACAGCCTGGTGCAATGCAATTTATTTTGCGTAGAGAATCCTTTCTCTGACATATCACAAAATGAAACCAGTTGGCAGCCAATGTCATCATTATATAGGGCTAGCTTCTGTCCCCCTTACACCGAGTAGAACCTAATTCTGAAAACGGTCCCACTGATGGGAATGGGACTACTTGCAGAATATGGTACTGTTCAGCATAAGAGTGAATCACGTCCTTAGCATTTAATGTTTATATGGCACCATAAGCTTGCATGGAGGTAAAAGAAATAGTCCCTGTACTAATGTGCAGACCATGAACACGATAGGATCCGAATTACATTGTTCCGTCTGGTAAGTGGAGTTGTGTGTGTCATATATGAATGCATTGCCAGTACCCTTCCCCTCCTCCCCATTCCTATCACTCTGAGCTAGGGTGACAGATAGCAAGTGTGAAAAATCAGGACAGGAGGTGGTGGGTAATTGGTGCCTATATCAGACAAAGCCCTGAATATTGGGACTGTCCCTATAAAATTGGGACATCTGGTCAACTTACTCTGAGCATTAATCTGAGATCAGGTGGGTTTGCTGGACATTTTAGCACTTGATCCACTTCCTGCACTTTCCTGTAGATGCAGCATGAACCTGCCTTATCATCTTGATGGGGCTTGACCTGCTGGAATTCGAAACTCAATGGTTTTGCACGGGTCTATCTCAGCTCCAGTATAATGCAAGTCTATCCTCAGGATTAGGTGGGTCTCTTTGGGCCTTTGAGAATTAAGATGCTCTATATTTGAATATCTATCAAATTCATGCATGGTATTCTAAGGCAGCTGTCACTATGCTATCCCTACCAAAGGTGGAAACCTGATTATGTTCCAGGCTGCTGTTGCTTCTCCTCTCCCTTACCCCATTCCACTGCTACCAGAACAGGTCATCTTTAGGTGTTATCTTGTTCAGTTATTATAAAAAAAGTTGTGGCCCCTTGGCCATTAGCATCTGTCTTTGTTGGTCCCTGCTAGGAGTTTGGCCCGTACGCAAGAGTTAACTAGAGCTGGTAGGAAAATGGGGGTTTTATATGCAGAAAAATTCTACAAAATAATATAAAAATATTCAGTTTCATCAAAAATTTTCCACAGATAAATTCAAATGTTCATCAAAAAAACTAAAAAATCCAAATCTTCTGCACAAAAGCTACAAGATTTTGTCAAGAACATCAAAACAATATTTCATGCCAGGTTGACCCAAATTGAAATATTTTGGATTGCTAAACGGAGTCAGAATATTTCAATTCAAGGATGGTTCAGTATTAGACTGTGTCCACATGTGCTGCTCATGGGAGTTGTACTTTGGGTGCATCAGCCTCCCATTTCCCCCTGTGGGTGAGGATCCCTGGCCAGACTATATCTGGGAGAGAACCCTTAGCTATCCATCACTGAAGGGACAAAATGGGCTAGCATTCTTAGAATCTGTGAAAGGTGGATCCCTCAGCCGTGTGGGCTGAGGATGCTGAGAACTGAGTGTGTAGGTGAGAAGTTGCCTGAGACCAGGATTATAATCTGTTAAATTTCAGACACTAGAAAGTGTGTTTGAGTTGGTTTTATTTCCATCCATTTTCTGTTTCTATCATCTCTGCTTAATATCACTTAAGTCTCTGTTCTTTAGTAACAAGCTGATTCTTGCTCTATTATAAACCTGCCTCAGTGCGGTACATTAAAGTGACTTGCGGGTCCTCAGCTAAACGAAAGGCTGTGTGGATTCTGTCTCTTTGGAGACAGCGGACTCAGAATTTCTGGGAGTGGCCAGTGTGACAGACTGGACACTGCAGAGAGATGCCTCTGGGAAACTTGGGAACACTGAATGTTACCTGTAAGGCAAGGATTAGCCTGGCAGAGTCTCCTAGAGTTTGCTGGCAGGCAGACAGCCTGGTGAGGCAGGAAGCTGGCAGACAGTTTAAATGCCAGCACAGCTCTCTGCTGCAGAATTAGAGAGGTAACATAGTGGCTTATGTTTCTGGGCTCCCTGAGGAGAGCGTCACAAGTGCATCACGGGAGATGTATTTAGGCTGGTAAGTCCAGCCTATCAAGGAAAAATAGAGGCATGATGCTCTTGAACGCCAATTCTTAGAAGGCACCGCAGCAGCTGCTCAGGAGGGTGTGGGTTAAGG